GGTAAGTGCTGTGTAAGTGCGTTATTTTTTATCCACCTACCCCCATGTTCTCCATATTCTTTGAAAGATTTTGTTCTCATATGACAAGTGAAAGAAATAATTAGGATCCAGCCAGGATCCAGTCAGGAAGCGGAAACCACACCAGTACTTTGAACAGGGAAAATCCAACATGAAGAACTGTTGACAACCAGTTAACGGGGACTACCTACTAAGAGGGGTCAACGGGACTCTAAGGGACACAGGAATAACGGATAAAGGGAGCAGCCACTACCTCCAGAGGTGACACAGAAAACCCACGGAAGGATAAACTCGCTCCCTGCCACAGCTGAGGCTCAGAACTCACGGGTGGGGGCGTGGCGGGAGAAGTTTGCTGAGGAGCTGCAGGCTGGGGCTGGCGAGCAGGAAACGGTGATGGCCGAGCCTGACCGGAAGCGGCAGCTGTGCAGTAGAAGCCGGAAGCAAAGCCCTGGCAAGAGGGGGAGAAGGCCCTTCAGTGTTCTGCGGACGCCTCCCCCTGACGCAGCGCGAGCGTGGTGCTGGCTGGCACGATCGCAGGGCAGGGCAGAGACGGTGTACTTGGAGCTGAAGAAGCACCAAGTTCACAACAGGCGCACACCCCGTCAACGTCCTCATAATTAAACGACGTTTAACTGGGAGTGGTTCCTGTTTATGTTTCATGTGCTGATAGCGGTACGAAGGGGGCTGTGGTTAGGGCAGTCCCGTGCTCCCGGCGGTCCGCTGTAGTCACTAGTCGTGCCCGTTGAGCCCTATTATTACAGCCACCCACCCCTACGCCCCTCTCTCTCAGAAATGTCCCTGTTGGGAGGATGAAGTGTGTGGTCATGTAGACAATAGTATTCCCACGGATAGTCGCCAGAGACACAATAAATACACACAAACAAACTTGCTTGAAGACAGCCCAGGTGTGGAGAAGCCACAAGATTCAGGGAGAAGACAAGGGCACTGAGGTGAGCGTGGCGGCCTGATTCCCCCTTGCAGCGCTGGCCGGTTTGGAGGTGGCAGAAACTAAGAGGCTGAAAAGCCGAACCAAAAGCAATAGTTCTCAAGGGTAATATGTGATTTTAAAAATGTACATCTGAGTCTGTCTAAAAGAGCTCTTTTAATAAGCATAAAGTAAGTCTGACATGCAAGCACAGTGTCATTGTTAAAACGGCAGCATCTTTCTTATCGCTACGTAAAGTAATGGCACATTTTACAGGTTATGGCCACTTAGGTTTGATGAAATACAGTCTATTTGTTCCTACGGTATACTTGTTCCCACGTACAGTGTCTCTAGGAGAGATTCCTAGAGGTGGAACTGCTGGGTCAAAGGTCATATATTTGATAGATTCTACTAAACTGACTTAAAAACAAACAAACAAACAAAAACCCTGAACAGTGTCCATTTCCTCACACTCTCCTCAACACTGAATGTTACCAATCTTTAAAGACTTTTTCTCCTCTGACAGGCTCTCACCATGTCCTCATTTCAGCTTCAGTCCAGAGTGAAGGGAATCTGTGATTCCCAAAGTATCATCATGTTCCACTCCTATGTGTAATTGGTTCAAATCTGCATCATACTTTCCTAGAGTTTGGGCCTTAAGACCTACGCATCTTTCTCCTCCTAAGGGAAAATAAAGGGTCATTTCTCCACGTGGTGCTGGTGAGGATCATGGACTATTAGGATAGGAAGGGATCTTAGACACTGCCAAATCCTAGGAGTTCTGAAAGACATTCAAGACGGTCTTCACTGTTACAGGTGGCAGAGTATCTTTTCAATTTCTACTTAGAAAAGTAATAATTAAAATAATTCTTCAGACAACCTCTTGCCCCATCAACATGCGATCACTTGGGGAGCGTCTCAGTGCCTGTTGACCAGCACCTGCAGTGGTCCCTGCATACAAGAAGTGTGCGTATGACTCAGCTGAAGAGGTGGGTCGTAGGTGACTTGTGACTCCTCTACAGCAACTTTTAAAAGTCATATACTGCTTCATATACAGCCATAATGGAACGCTGGCTAAACACATAAAAAGTTTGCTGAAATAAAGTAAAAGAAGACCATATACTGAAAATTCTACAAATTTGGTTCAAGATGATATTCATTTACTAAACGTGCAAATTGCATTCTGCTAATCAAAATATCTTGTATGTCAGAAACAAAAGCCCAAAAGAGAAAATATAGTGATCATTATATCCAATTTGGTCTTTCGTTATTAGGGATGAAGACCAACCATACCCTCTTCATGTTATTTGCAGAATGGTGCTTACATATAGCAGCCAGAACCCTTCTGTTTTAGCTCATCATTTAGACACAAAACCATGAAAGGAATAAAAATAAACCAGTTTTTTAAAGTGCAAAAAGCACAAATTCTAAACATTCGTTTAGGAAAGCAGTTTGTGTCTATTTTTGATGCTACAATGAGTCATTAAATTTCATACATTTTAATATACATTTGTCCTAAGACCAATATGATATATGTTCTTTTAAAAGTTATTGTTAACAAAGCATGCTTTTCCCTTACATAATTAAAGTAAATTAAACATTTTGCATTACATGGTAAATGGAAGAAGGTTGAGACTAGTCTTATTACAGTATGGGTATTACTCAAGATTATTTTAACATTATACATATATCTAAAATAGGTTTTATTTTAAAAATCACTTCTTTATTACACATCACACAAATTATTAAATGCTTAAATAATTGCAAGTTGTTATCAAGAGTATACATGGTAAAAGGCATTCTCCAGTTAAGCTAGAAAGCTCTTATCTGGTCTAGATCCCTCAGTTTATAAATGAGGAAACTGAGGCCCAGAAAGGGTAAGAGATTTACTTAAGGTCACAGAGCCAGGGAGGGCCTCAGACTCACTCTTAGTTCTTTGCTCTTCAGGGTGAGTGTGTATGAGGTTAAGTGATTTGAAGTTCTCAGTATACTTGTTCTTGCTGAAAAATCTCTCTGGTGGCAGAGATTCTGACACTGCCCCCTCTAGGTTCAACATTGCCCTCACTCCTCCCTTAGAGCCCCAATTTCCTTGGGGACTAAGCTATTTTAGTTCCCAAAGGCTGTATCAGATGCTGCCTTCCCTTCCCATGCAACCAGGGTCAGTCAGTATCTGCTGAACCAATACTGTTAAGGAGTAAGTCCATGAAAGCGGAGAGTGGGAAGGGAAGCTGGACCACCAGGGGCCATTTTTTTTTTTTTTTTCCAGGGGCCATTTTTGCTGCTTATAGTTCACCAGGCAGATTCTACCTGAGGGATTCAGGAGGGAGAAAGAGCAGACTCGGCAGATGCTACTGGATTTGAGAAGACGCTGTGTATGAGTCTACAACTTACTTTCTTGTCTTTCAGGAAATTAACCCCTTTCAATTTAGGGGGAAAAATTATTCCCACCTGGGGGCAAATCATGCATTTACTTTTGGAACTTGTTCCATCTTTTGGGAGGGACTTATTTCAAAGGCTCACTCTCTGCTGCCCTTGATTTACCAAGGACTTGCCAAAGCACGCTCCAAGGAGCCCTAATCCTGGTGTGTTGTAAACAGCTCTGCATCCCACCATCTGCCTAGTACCTGATGGGATCTTGCAAGGGTGTTGACCATCCCCCTTCTGAGCTCTTGCTCTGGATGTGTGTCTCTCACAGTTTACAAACCACCAGGAGAGGCTCGCCTATCTCCTTTCTCTGGGTGCACAACCCAGTCTGTACAAAGCAATGAACTTCCTTAAAACACCTTCAGGAGGCCTCTGCCTTAAACAGAACCTGTGCTTGTCTCATCATCTGCCTGATCTCTCTAATCTCTTCTGCTCCAATTTCAAGGCTCTTCTACAATCGTACTCTCGACCTCATCACCTGAACACAACCTGTTAATGTGGGTTAGTCACCATCAAGGTGATTATGCATGATCTTTATTCTGCCCCCATCACTTGCTCATACTGGTTCTGAAATCTATTGACATGGTGCTCTGTTGTTTACTCTTCTGGCTCTCCCAGGAAAGCAGAGGTCACCGGAACAGGGTGACCAACATGCCAACAGAGGCCCAGGAGACAATCGACTGATGCAACGCCAGAGGAAGAGAGGGAGGGGGGAGGGGGGCATTTTGTGGAGGAGGCTACAGCTACCCTCCCAGAGGGATGCAGGTTCCTAGCAGAGTTATCAGTCAAGGGCAGTAGGCACAGTGCCTAGAGCCCCCCAAATGTTTACATTTTAATTTTTTTTTGAAATCATAAATATAATAATGAATGTAACAATAAATCCAGCCTGGATTATATTTGTGGTTTGTAGTAGCAAAATATAATTTTAAAAAATTTTTGTTGTTTTGATGGACAAAGTGGCCCACGAAGACAAAAGTGTGTAAGGCACAGGACAGTCATAATTCGGCCCTGGGTACGGTTTACACTTTCTGGTTTTAAAAAAAGAAATGGATATCCAGATATTTGTAGGGGACCTCTTGTTTTTAAATATTAGGAACTCGCTTTAAAATTAAACAAAACATACACGTCGTGGCCCAACAAAACACGTGGAGCTTAGCTTGCACCCTCTTGAAGGCCTGGGCTATCACCGTGTCCCCAGAATGCCCGTGGTTGGACACGATCCGAGCACCCCGCTCAGGATGTAAGAAGGGGCAGCAGAAAGCCTTCGGGGCAGGACAAGGGTCTGACGGTTAAATCTCTGCCCGGCCCGGTCTTGGAAGCTCGGTCGCCACTCCGGCCCAGGCGCTCCCTGGCTGCCCGACCGGCAGGCGCGGGCTTTGCTCATTCACGGGTTTTCCCGCTTCTGCCGACTTCCAGGGCGGCGCGGGGGGTAGGGGGGTGGGCTCCTCCAGCTCACCGGTCACGCGGGGGCGCGGGTCAGAGGCGACTGTCCAGGGCATCTCCCCGCTCGGCCCCACCCCTCGGAACAAGGCCCGCCCGCCGGCCGCAGCCCGGTTCCCGGACTAGGCCTGCTTCTCGCAGGGCCTGCTCCTGGGAGGCGAAACTCCACACTGAGGGCGCGGAGGTGGTTTCAGACCGCAGCGCCCGGGCTCCTCCTCCCGCGCTACCCAGGGAGGCGGGCTGTGCTCTTTTCAAGGTCCCGCCAAAGGGCCCCGCCCTCCCGGAGGGAGACCTAGCAGCCTTCCTTCCTACGCCAGGCCGGGGACCGCCGGACCGGAAGCTGCGGGGTCTCGGGGCCCCGGTTCGTTCTCGCCTAGCCGCAAGCCGCGGGTGCGCATGCTCCGCGAAGGCCCGCACAGGGCCCGGGTGAACCCTGATAGAGCCATCGCGAGGCGGGGTAAGCGGAGCTCCAGTGGCGCAATCGGTTAGCGCGCGGTACTTATACAGCAGTACATGCAGAGCAATGCCGAGGTTGTGAGTTCGAGCCTCACCTGGAGCATGACCCTTTTGGATACCCGCACCCCCCTTTTACCCCCTTGCTCAAGGGAACGAGTCAGTCTCTCTTTAGTCTCCTCAGTTCCTGTCTCTCACTGCTCTGCTTGCACGTCCTGCTTCGCTGCAGGCAGGAAGCCGCTCTCCTTGGCGCCTCACTCGCTTTCCAAGCTACTTGTTGCCCCCGCGCAGTGCACCGTCCAGCCGCCCGAACCCGTACGTTTACCTGCTGCTCCCTCTTCCTAGGCATTTCCTTTAACGGCAGTCCCGGGTCCCGGTACCGGGGATGAGGACGGGAAGTCCCGGGGCGCTGCACCGGTGATGGGACCCTACCTGGGCCTCGTCATCGAAAATTCCAGGCGCCCTCTCTACGGGGCGTGCCCGAGTTCCCGGCGCCGGTTCCCTGCTGCTGCCCCTCACCCAGGGCCGGGAGCGGCGTGGTGAGCGCTGGCTGTCGGGGCCCGAGCGGGGCAACCGCTCCCGCGAGCTGGGGCCCGAGGCCCAGCGCAGGGCCTCAAGTGAAGCAGTCGCTCTCCTCCTTTTTAACTATGGGTTGGCCAAAAAGTTCGTTCGGGTTCTTCCGTAACATCGTTACCAAAACCGCGAACGAAAACCCGAACGAACTTTTTGGCCAACTCAATGCTGATAACTGGTCGTTGCCGCCTTCCCGCGATCTGCAGAACCCCTAGACCGCGGGCCCTTCTCCCTTACCCAGGCCTCGAGGCCTCCCTGGGCGGATTTGCAGTTTGGGAAAAGTGCCTGGGCGTTTCCCTCCCCCTATCTGTGCCCCTGCTCCCCGGTGTCAGTCAGGAGTGGTGGAATTCGCTGGCAGACGGGAGAACAGACGTTTTCTAGGGATATCCTTTCCTGCCTGCTGCACACCCCAGGTTCAGAAGTCCCCCCGGGGAGCAGGAAATATGCCAGCTGGGTTTTGAAATCTTCCAGCACGCGAACATTCTGAGGCAGGGGGGCCGCTTTGTCAGGGGGTGGACGGATGCCCCACATCCTCAGGAGGTGGGGCGAAGTAGGGAGCAAGCTTAGTTGGGGTGAGAGGCCTCCCGGACGTGTTCTCCCGAAAGAGTGGTTTCAGCTGTTTTTATGGGCGTGCTAGGAGTTAACTCCTGGGATGGAAATACTACCAGGAGCGGTGAGAAGCAAGACCTAGAAAGCTCGGAGGTAGTGGGTGGAAGGTGGAGCTCTTCTTGTCTGTCTCCTCGGCTGCTAATCCCAGCCCCAGATTCCGAAAGGGGAGCCCCATGCCTCCTGAAATGTGAGAAAATCCTTCCACCTCACCCAACCTGGCTGCCAGTTCCTCGCTGAACCGGATCTTTTCGCTCACAGGCTCATCCTCAGCAGATGGTTGAGTGCTCCCCTTTAGAATTCTAGCCAGCCTGGAAGCAAACATCTATCCCCAACCCCCACCAAAAAAAGTTTGCTTAATTTTTTTTAAAAAACAGGTTTATCGAGATATAATTTGTATACCCTACAATTCACCCATTTAAAATGTACAATTCAACGAATTTTAGTACATTCACAGATATGTGCAACCATCACCACAGTCAATTTTAGAACATTTTCATCAACTCGATAGAAAATCCTGTATCCTTTAACTATCACCTCACCCTACCCCTAAATAACCACTAATCTACTTTCTGTATCTACATTTACCTATTCTGGACTTTCATATGAATGGAATCATGTAGTATGTGGTCTTTTGTGACTGGCTTCTTTCAGTTATCCTGATGTTTTCAGGATTCATCCACATCCTACCTTGTATTGGTGCTTCATTTCTTTTTTATGGCTGAATAATATTCCATTACATGGATTCTTCCCAATTTTGAACAATGGAGAAAAGGTTGGCATTTTAAAAACATTTGCTGAAAACTGCTTTTTAAAAGGGAATTCATTTTAAAATGTACAAAGCATAGAAACAGTCACCCTTGCCAAGTGTATGTTTTTAACCTTGAGAGGTTATCACTGCAAGAACTGGTAAGATATTTCCAAGAGCTCAGCCAAGAGCTGAGCACGGAGCAGTTTCCTCACGTGGACAGAAATGCATGAATGAAAGATCATTCTGCCCAACTCCCTATCCATGTTGGAGTCCCTTCTGCAAAACCCTAGCTCCTATTTGAAAAGTTCTAGCATCAAAATGTCATTTCTTCACAAGATGATGCATTCCACTTTCTGTCAACTCTCATGGTTAGAACATTCTTCCTCTTAAATATTGTTTCTGTCCCTATAGGTTATTGCTGGAATGGTGGTGGTTTGGGGAACTCTTTTTTGGTGAGACGGTCAAGTGGGAAGGTAAGAAGCTAAATTATCAATAGTTGCCCTTGCTCTATTTAATCTGGAAATCACCAGATAGATTATTAGTGGATTACAAACAAACAGACCACTGGCAGATTTGTAGATCAATGTCTTAATGTGAGGTTGATAGGATTTTTAAAGGTTGTGATGGGTGATAAAGATCAAATCAGAAAATTATGGGAACATGCTATAAAAACCATAAAGTACTCCATATACAGGTGTAAGGAGGTGGCATTCCTGTCACCACAAAACTAGTGGATTAGGCCTATATGCAATGTATGGTGGCTTTAAGGAGGAAGACGGGTAAATATGAGGTGGATGAACCCAGAAGGTAGGTTGAAGTTATAGCTGAACAGCTGTAGACGTCTAGCAGGAGACAAGCCTGACCTACCTACCCGTTGAAATCCGTTGAACTCTATTGAACTATGCACACAGGTTGACATTAGCTTTGTAGATGGCTTTGGATGGGCTTATTAAAACTGTGTGTGATACAGAGCTGGAAGGGAGTGCAAATTCAGTAGAATTTCGAGGAAGAGTGGAGCCAATCCAGGGACAAATATTTCTGACAAATGACAAGATGCAATTTGATGGAGATAACTGTAAGCCTGTGTTCAGTTCTGAGTTCAGTGTGGGGCGTGCCTGGCTTGACAGCTGTTTGCATACAAAGGATTTAGGCATTTCGGATATGCACAACCTCAGTTGTCCTGGCCGTGTGATTCAACTGTTAAGAATGTCAGCCAATTATTAATGCATTACTATATAATGCATTACATGATGTGGTGTCAGAGATGACAAAACAACAGCCTGTGGAACAAATTTAGCCTCCAGACAGGTTTTGTTTGGCTTTCTAGCACTGACTTGCGAGTGTTTAAATTTTTAAAAATCATTTGCCTGCATATTGGGAGGTTTTACTGAAATGCCTAGATTTCAAGTTTCTAATGAAAAATTAGAAGACTTGGCCATCTCGGGCCCTTATTCCCACATGGCAACAATTGGCTGCCCCCTTTGGATGGGCAGGTGATTTTTCGTTTGCTGTGGTCCTACCACTCTCCATTAATCCTCGCAGAGGTGGGTACCAGCTGCTTGCTTTGCTGTTTTCTTAACCCCTGACTCATTTCTCTCATTTGTGACCTACGTCGACTGTGTGGATCAAGATAGGGAATACTCATGTTGAAGTCAGCCTGAGGGCTGTGACCTGGGTGAACACAGCCCATTTAAAATTCAACAAAACAAAACTCCAGTTCTTTGTTATGGAAAATTTCAAACATACCCAAAATAGAGAAAATAGTATATTTAACCACCCTGTATCCATCCATCACTACTTTCAAGAATTGTCAACGTTATTTCATCTATCTCGTTCTCACAACATTCTCCCCTACCCTAGCACTGTCACCAGAATATTTTAAAGGAAACCCCAGCTATGGTTTAATTTAACTTGTAAATACCTCAGTATGTATACCCAACAGGTAACCACTTTTAAAAAGAGCATAACCATAGTACCATTAGCACACCTAACAAGAGTAATAATAGAAACTCTGCATCATCTAACACCTCGTCTGTGTTCAGATGTCCACACTTATCTCTGAAAGATATTTTTCTGGTTGGTTGGTTTGAATCGAGATCCAAACAAGGTCCATACATTACATTCGATCAATGTATCTTTTAAATTTCTTACCAATTACCCACTCCCTTTTTTGATATTTATTGATCTATAGAATCTCCCACAGGATTTGGCTAATTCCATCCTCAAGGAATCCTTTCCCAAGTTCTTCAGTCCCCCCGACAATTAGATCTAGAAGCTTGGTAATATTAAGATGCAATTTTTTCTTTTTGCAAAAATAGATTGTAGGTGGTACTATATACTATTGTATCACAAGAGAGAAAGTACATAATGTCTGGTTGTTCCACTTTTACTGATGTTAATTTTACTGGTGATTTCAGATGTGGTCAGCCTGGTCCATCCATTACAAAATGCCACATCAGCCTCTAACCTAATGGTTTTAGCATCTGTTGATGCTCCTTGTCTAGATTTATTATTGTATTAAGGATTACTCAACAAGGGTTTTCTAATTCAATTATTCCTTCTGTATTTGTAACTGTCATTCTTAAAAACCCCCTTTTTCCATCGACTGTTTGGTTTTCTTAAAGCACAATTCACATAGAAAAGACCAGGTAATATTCCTGGACTCTTTTCCTTTTTCTGCTAGTCTTTAGAATAATGAACTGATGCTCTAACAACTCCCAAAGGTGACCAATTAGTTTTTTTTAATTTTACAGCTTTTTTTTTTTAAAGTATTTGACATACAAGGAACTGCCTGAATGATGCTGAGTAGCTTTTCTAGTGCTTATTAGATATTCAGATATCTTCTTTGGTGAATTGTCCATTCAAATCTTTTGTCTGTCTTTTATTGGGTTGTTTGTCTTTTCATTATTGAGTTATAAGAGTTTTTGTCTATTCTAGATATAATTCCTATGTTGGATATATGTTTTGTAAATAATTTCTCCCAGTTTGTGGTTTGAATTTTCATTTTCTTAATGGTGTCTGTTGAAAAGCAAACTTTTAAATTTTGATAGAGTTCAATTTATACAATTTTTTTCCATTATGGATGATACTTTTGGTGTTATATCTAAGAAATTTTTGCCTAACCCAATGTCACCAAGATTTTATTCTATGTTTTAGCTCTTACATTTAGGAGTTAACATTTGTATATGATGTGAGTTAGAGGTCTAAGTTTTTCTTTTTTTGTAAATGGATATCCAGTTCTGGCACCATTTGTTGAAAAGCCTATCCTTTCCTGATTGAATTGCCTTGACACATTGTCAAAAATGAATTGACCTTAGCTGTGTTGGTCTTTTGTTGGACTCTCATTCTATTCTGTTGAGCTATATGTCAGTGTGGTGTTATGTGTGGATTACTATAATCATATAATTTGTATGAATCATGATTCAATTATATGATTATAGTAATCCACACATAACGCTATATATATATGTATATATATATAAATAAACTTTAGGGCCAGTTTGCCAATTTCTATGAAAATATCCTGGGAGTTTTACAAGAATTCTGTTGAAGGTATTGATCCATTTGAGGAGAATTGCCTCTTTAACAATATTGACTCTTCTGATTCTATAAGCAAGTTATACACGTCTCCACTTATTTAGGGCTTTAATTTCTTTAAGCAATGTTTTGTTGTTTTCAGTATTGAAATGTTGTATTATTTCTTCCTTAAATATTTGGCAGGATTCACTGGTGAAGCACTGTGGGCCTGCAGTTTTCTTTGTAGGAAGTTTTCTCTTTAAAACCCTACAAATTGAATTTCTTTAATAGATTTGGGGGTTATGCAAGTTACCTATTTATTCTTGAGTGAGCTTTGGTACTTTGTGTCTTTCAAGAAATTTGTGTATTTCGTTAAAGTTATTGAATTTATTAGCATAAAGTTATTCATAATATTCCCTTCTTGTCTTTAGGATCTGTAGTGCTTTCCCCTCTAATTTCTGATATTAGTAATTTATGGTTCCCTCCCCACCCCGATCAGTCTCAGAAGATGTTTTCCACTTTTATTTATCTTTTCAAATATCCAGTTTTGGGTTTCATTGGTTTTTCTTTATTGTCTTCCTGCTTTTCATCTGATTCTGATGCACTGGAGAATGTATACTGTGCTGCTGCTGGACAGTGTGCTCTGTCAATGTCAATTATATCAAGTTGGTTTATAGGCCTCTTCAAGCCTTCTGTACCGTTGATTTTTCTGCCTGCTTGTTCTGTCTGTCACTGAGAGAAGGGCATGAAAATAACCAACTGCAATGATAGGTTTTTCTATCTTTTAGTTTTATCTTTTCCTCCTTCATGTTGCTGGAAGCTCTGTTATTGGCTGTATACATGTTTAGGACTGTTATGTTCTCTTTTTTTTTAAAAAAATTATTTTTATTGGGCTTCCCTGGTGGCGAAGTGGTTGAGAGTCCGCCTGCCGATGCAGGGGGCACAGGTTCGTGCCCCGGTCCAGGAAGATCCCACATGCCGCAGAGCGGCTGGGCCCGTGAGCCATGGCCACTGAGCCTGCGCGTCCGTAGCCTGTGCTCCGCAACGGGACAGGCCACAACAGTGAGAGGCCCGCATACTGAAAAAAAAAAAAAAAAATTTATTTATTTATTTTTGGCTGTGTTGGGTCTTCTTGCTGCGGGTGGGCTTTCTCTAGTTGCGGCAAGCAGGGGCCACTCTTTGTCACGGTGCATGGGCTTCTCACTGCAGTAGCTTCTCTTGTTGCAGAGCACGGGCTCTAGGCATGCGGGCTTCAGTAGTTGTGGCACGTGGGCTCATTAGTTGTGGCTGGTGGCTTCTAGAGAGCAGGCTCAGTAGTTGTGGCACATGGGCTTAGTTGCTCCACGGCATGTGGGATCTTCCCAGACCAGGGCTTGAACCCGTGTCCCCTGCATTGGCAGGCAGATTCTTAACCACTGCGCCGCCAGGGAAGCCCCTTAACTGTTACATTCTTTTAAATACTCTGGTTAATGAGTTGATTCCTTCTCTTTAAAACTTTCATTACACCCTTCCCTCCATACCTAGTCTTTTCATTCATTTGCTCTTAGCCTTCTTTCCCTTTTTTCTTCTAAATTTATTTTTATCTTCTCCTATCTATTTTTTTCTTCTTTTTAACATAAACTGTAAAACTGAATTCTCTTTAAGTGTTTCTATGTTCCTTGCTGTCTGGTGGGCCCCTTGGGAGCAGAGGCAGGCAGCTGGGGTGGAGTTCATGCTGGGGGCGAGCCTGGTGGGGTGAGGATCGTTCCCCTCTTCTGTTGGTTTCCTGCCTTTCCCCACAGAGTCCTTGACAACCCCTGACCTTAATGATCCAGATGCCTCTCTTCCTTCCCATAACACTAAGCCATCCATGATGACTACAGTTGAAACTCCAAGGAATATGGATCCCAGAGAAGAGCGGGCTGAAGACAGTTATATGACTTGCTTTCAGATATTCATGAAATGAGTAGATATATTC